CATCCATTTGGTTAAATATACAAGCTGCTATTAAAAATAAAATCATATTTTGTTAAAAGTCAAATATCACACTGACTTACAAAAAGTACAAATTACAATTGATTTGTTTTTTTCTAATATTATTTAAAAACTTCGAAAAAAAACATTAAAAAAATCTCTGTCAATGAAAATTGTTTTGTGTATAGCTATTAAACAATTTTTTTTTATAAATCCGAATTTTCGTTCACATTTAATTTTTCTTAGCTTTACGATTCATATGTAAACTTTTTGCTATTTCAACACTTATTATCATTATATATTTTCCGAATTTTCTGAGAAGGTTTAGTCCGCGACCTAAGTTTTGAGACAAACTTTAAGCCTTCATAATTTAAATTTTCTTTTAAACAGTTTCAGTTTCCAACTTTTCATTGCTTTTAAACAATGTTTTTCTATCCCCGTACCAAAATGCATTTGTCTAGTTTTGTTAGTTGCCGAGAATTTAATGGTTTTAAAAACACTATTTTGTCTCACAATTTATGCCGCGGAGTGTATATATATATATATAAATATATTTTTCATTTGCATATTAATATAGAAACAAAATGCTTAGCGAAATGAAATGAGATGCTCATTAAACTAAAACAAGGATCTCATAACTTTTATTTTATAGCGCGTTCAGAAAACTATCAAAAGGATCTCTTAGCTGGTTTATAACGCATGTTCATACTTATAGCACGTATATAATAATTTGCAGTTTTATGCTTCAAAGTTAAATTAAAATTGATGATACAAAAACTACTACAGAAAATTTTTTAATTTTTTTACAACGCATATTAACATTCACATTAGCAAAGAGCTTTCCCGGTTAAAATAGAATAGAAATGATTTTTCTGTTCCGTCTTTCAAAGCAAGTTTGGAACATACATGCTTCTAGAGCATTTTTTTCAGACTAATTTCCAAAAAAGTTTTTTCTTAGGGAAGCGATCTTTGGATCTTCGTGGACCCTGTCGTTTAAGTACACCACTATGATATCCGGCCACGAGCCCACCAAAATTGCTCGCTTTATACGTTAATGCTGAAGTTGTAACGCAAGTTATCTTTGCGTGGTGGCAAATTAATCCGCACTTAAAAATCTTTACAAACTAAATTAAGGTAAGCTAAAATAAATAGTCTAATTAAATCCATTAACGACTCAAAATTTATCGTTTTAAATTCAAGCCTATCAGCCTAAAATTCATACTCGCACTCAGTAAAAAGGGAAACTAATCGGTTATATTACAATTAAAAATGTAACTTTATGAAAACTAAATAATTATAAGCGTCAAATTTAGTTGTTTAAACTATTTATAATCCATTATAATGATAACATTTTTCGTGACATTATAATAAATTTATTCAATTATAATTGGTTATACTTTTTCCGAAAATCTCTTATAATCTCTTTTAATCTATTATGATTTATTATAATAGGTTTTAATACTTTTTTCTGTCAAAAATCTCTTAAAATGAGATGTCTTGACACTGTTTGGTTCATCTGAATACAAAGTTTCACCACGAAACAAAATTTTCATAGAGACCCCTCCATATGAGTTGAAAGAATCCCGCGGTAGGTGAAATATAATTTTTCGATATATATCATGAAACTAAAGAAGTATGCTGATATTTTGGTGGTCAGAGAAACTTAGAATGTACATCATAAAACAACTATAATCAAGAAAAAATGAAAAAAAAAATGTTATAAATTTGAATTGATTTGACATTGTTAAAGTTAATTTTCCCACTTTTCTCATAAACAAACGTCTACGAAAAGCATAAAATATAAGCAATTAATCATCAAGGTCGAAGACAAAATGGGCAAACAAAAGGGATTTTAAAAAATTATATAAGATTATAATGGATCTTTTCTGCAAAACAAATGAATTAGAAATATGGATAAAAATAATCGATTATAATCGAAAATAACCTGTTATGATTGATTATATTTGAGATTATAATCGATTATTAATTGATTAAAATCAATTTTTTCTTAATTTTTGTAAGACTGGTACTAAAATCATATTATAATCGATTTTTAACGCTTGAAACTGGATGCGGGTAGTTTGTGAACATTTTATTTTTCAAAAACTATTTGAGACCAGTTAAAGAGCAGTCGGAACATTCAGGGCTTCGACTGATACGAGCAGTGATGTTCTTAGCTGTTGAATTACAGAGCCTCTCAATTCCGCTAGTTTTTATCAATTCGATGTGGAGTTTTAATCTCTCCCCCCAACTAGATAGTTGTACATGAAACGGTAAAAAAAACATCAGACAACAGATTTTTCAAAATTTCACTAGTTTGTTCAGCATGCGAACGTTTCTGGTCGGTTTCGTCAAAAAAATAAGTCTCCCTTGAAATGATTTCGCTGCTCGTCTCGTTTGAATGATTTCATCCATCACACTACTTTTGTCCCAAAAAAATCAAAAATTTGACTGATAAATTAATTGACTCGCAACAATACGCGCATCACAATGGTTAAATCACCAATTATGGATCACCGCTCACAGAGAATCAATCAGTTCTTATTTAATTTTCAAGAACGGCTCAAAATGCTACAGAGGAACTCCAGAGCACTTAAACTTCAAAGATTAATTATAATCGATATTACGCAGTTGCATAATTACTATTACATTTTTTACTTAAAGAAACGTTGAACTCAAACTAATTTTTGCTTCTGATTGTGATTTTAACTACTTATCATTTTATGCGTGCAGTGTGGATCTTTATAACAATAAAAGATGAAAATAAAAGAGAGCTTTAAAAGAAATTATGATTCATCGCAAAATAATATTTAATCATAATATAAAAACTAATTGTTTCCAGCCTATGTTACGATTAAAGTTGCAGAGTTCTTATTTTCTCGTTTTCAAAAGTACAGATTGGAAGAACGCCATTAGGCTGCAAGAGACTGTTTTCGGGCGCGTCAAGCCATTTAGTTATTTGTTGAACAAAAAGAGCGAAGAACGGTTGAAATGTCATCAAGTTTTACTCATATGATGAAAACTAATCCAAACATAGGCGCTGTATTCGTTCTTCGGAGGGATGGAAGTATCCTTTTTTTGATTGTAGCTGCTCTTGTTCAAAGTTGGTCATATTCGGGAGAATGCACATTTGAGACGCCCTTCCGGGCCTTGAAACTCGATCAAAAATTCACGCTTGACTTCGGACCAGGAACTGGAGATCAATTTGTGAAAAAAATGGATTCTCACAAGTTTTCTGACACATTCTATATCCCAGTGTTTAAACTTGGACTCTTTGATGTTAACCAAATTCAGTTTGAGCACCAAGGACAACTTAAGCTGACCAACGACTACGGCGATGAACAGTGGATTTATCTCATTAACAATGGCGTGACTACCATCGATCTATTAATGGACAGATTGTGTCTAAGCTTCACACACTACTATAACACCGACCCTGCTGGGGGAAAGCACTACGACACCGAAAGACTATGTGAGTTTTGGTTCTACAGTTCCTGCGATACGTCGACCACATTTCGACCCTCAATTGAGGATGAAATTGGTAATTACGACACTCTAGCATGCGCAATCTGGTGGTACCAGCAGACCTTCAAAAAGTACCAAATTGACCTCTACATCGACGAAGAAATCACCAAGAAGCTCTTAGGAGAAGACACTCGCTATCCAAACCTGGCTCACAGCCTCTTTTTCCGAAATCTGACTCGAGCAGCTGACCTGGATCTAGTCAATGCACGTCTCGGAGGAAAGTTCAAGGCCGAGTCTGGTTTCGTCGCCACGTATTACAAAGTTCCAAACAACAAGTACGCCTATTACAAGCAGTACAATAGCATCCAGTTCATTCTGGCGTGCCACGGAACCCTGGACGGAGACGCAGAAACTGAACAATGCTTTGCAATTGTCCAGTACAGTGAAAGATCAGTGGAGAGCTCATTCTTCTTTTTTAGGATCGATGACGGCAAGTTTTGACTTTATTTTTAACCCAAGCTGTTCGGTTCATTTAATTTTTGGAAACATAATCTGGCGCTTAACATAGAAACATTAAAGTTGATTCTCGGGGTATTCAGTCTTGAATTGAACAAAGAGTAAAGACTGTAAAAACTTTTTGAGCGTCAATACGAGGTTAATTATTTGTTTTGAGGTAGTAAGCGGACTTCGCAACAAGCAGCAACCCACAAACGAATAATTGTATGTGTGTAATGGATTATGACATTGCATTATGCGAGTTTTGTAAGCGGAATCCGCATTTTACAACAGCTTTTTGTTTGTGGAACCTACATAGTAAAAACAGATTTTCATACCCGCTCGCAGTGACATAATGGACAAAAATCGATCATATAGATAAAAAACTACAGATTAGCGTAAAAATGTGATCAATTTTTTATACAACTATTTTGGGAACGATCATCGATTCTGTACGCACATAGAATTGAGTTTTTTCTAACAAAAACAATTGGATTTTAGTGCCAAAATAATCAATTTATCTTCTGTAAAAACTGTATATATTCTGTAGCTCATCTGTATTTAGTCAGTATATTCCCTTTGCAATACAACATGTACTTGATCTTAAGATAATTTTTATATAATCTGTATATAATCGTTAGATAGTCTGTATATATTATGTATACAATATTAACAAAAATAATATAAAGTCTATAGGATTGACCACACTTCAATTTTGACATCATAAAACCTAAATTAATTTTTTTTGCTTAAGTCTTAGCAAAAATTTATCACTAAAAAGTATAATGTTAGAGTGAGCTCAACTCACTTGAGGAGAAATTTTTGCCGCTAACTACAGGTTTCAACAAATCCCTCTGAGATTTGGCGATTTAAGGGTTCCCGCGCTTTAAAAAAAATTATTTTGCGCGAAACTTTTTAAAGGCCATTTAAGAAATCATTCGTTCCAACGCATTTTTGTGAAGTAAACATCAACAAGAAATTAGAAAAGTTACTTACTTTTAACTTAAGAAGAAATAGTTTTTGCGGCTAGATATTTCGACAGAAATGGTTTTAATAATTTTTTTTCAGATCAATATCAGCACAAAAACTTAGCTGAAAAGCTTACATTATACTGTTAATTCAATCTACTCATTTTATATGACGGGTGAATATGTTGAAAAAAATGTATATACTATGTATTTATTCTGTATAAAATCTGTACATATTATGTTTAGAATCTGTAGATAATCTGTTTAAAGAAAGTCGATAATCTGTATATAGTATGTAGAGAACCTGTATAAAATCTGTATGCAATCTTTATGTAGTATACATAAATTTAGTACGGAAAAAAAGTTTAGAGTCTTTTGGTAACGACTATATCTCAAAAATAAACAGTATAAAACTTTTGCACTAAAAATCAAATTTTAAAACTATTTAATCTATGTTTTACTATAACAAACTATAACAGCTCTAAAGTTTGTATACTTTTTGTAGATAATTGACTTAATTTAATTCTGTTTAGTTAATTCTGTTAAAAAGGTTGCTAATTCTTGTTAAAAAACTAGCATTTAGATCAAAAACGACCTTGATCAATTACAAAAAAATAATTGTCAGCAAATGTCAATTAGTTCGTTGAAAATCGCTATACCAGTACTGAGGAGAAATTTGCCATCAAAAGATAAAATACTTGTCACGATCAGCAATAAGGATAAATATCGAAATCAGCGATTTGGATAAACGTTACCATCAACATTTAAGATTGAAAACATCATATCAGCATTTACAAAAAAAAGTCACCTCGGCAAAAAATGTATAATTTATAGGAGATTATCTGACAGAACTATATCAATTACTGACTATCTCTTGTATGTTAAATGCTGAAATAACCATTAATCTCAAATAGTAAAATGACAAAGAATCTCCAATGCTGAAATAGCAATTCATCTCAAATACTGCAATGGCACTTTATACACGGATTGAGGTGTTCGACTTATGTTTCGACCGAACTCGGTCGAACCCATAAATGTTGTTCGACACAAAATCGATAGTCGAAAACTCGCATATTGTTTAAACACTAATTCGAAACTTAGTCGAACTCGGGTATCAAATACTGTAAGACATTCGTTATCTAAATAGCTTAATTTGCTAATTTATGTGCATTAGTAGCTTTAACTATAAATTGAACGTTTAAAATAAGTTAAACTGAATTTGGCAGAAATATTCATGGGCGATGGACCTAAAGGGAGAAAATAAAAATGAGTCAATCAGATTTCAGTATTCCAAAAACTTGAAAGAAAGCATAAAAATCTCAAAGAAAGTAATTATTTCCATCGACTTATTATTAACATTGGCCGAACGTAAGAACGGCAGGAGTACGCAAAATTTTCAAATTTTCATCCCTGGCGAATTGAAACGAGTTTTTTAATTCATAGGTTTTGTTATAGAAGAAGCAAAAAATTGTTTCAATTAATTCATTTTAAATGTGATGCTTTTTGTTTACGAGTCTTTGCCCCTGATTCTTTTGCCCAAACGGTCGATAGCACATGAAAACTGCCCCCCGCCCCAGTTATTTGATTAGCAATTCTTTGAAACTAATCTTTGGACTTCACAGAAATCAATTAAGTTCTTGGTTCTAAACTGTGCACCTGATTTTTCTCGTTTTAATGCAGAAATGTTTTCACTTGAAACTGTTTTAAGTATCTCTCAAGTAAAAACGCAAAAATTGCTCATAAATAATTGTAATTTAGTAGAAAATGCGGTATCCGAAAAAAATGCTATATTCAATTGTTGCGGATTCCGAGACACAACAAAAAAATTTTCGTCCTATTTTACGTTACATACCTGTTTGTCGATTCCCCAAAAATTGAGCGCAACAAGCACTAAGCCTGAAGCACCAATTGTTATACATTATAACAGCGTAACTATCCTGTGTAGTAATCGAGAATAACCATTCCAAGATTCCCAGACTCACATAACGGGAATTTTGTTACGTAACTACTTTTTATATTTGTTATAAAAATGTAATTTTTTTGTTTCTTATCACGTTATGGATCCTAAAAGAGTGTGACATCTTTTTAAGATCCCTTTCAATCTCCAGTAAAAATCTATAAAAGTTTTTAAAACTTGACTGAACTTGGAAACAAAATTGATCTGAAACGTCCCGTTTTTAGACCAAGAAGATTGATAAGTTCTACTTTTTCGATTGAATTTACTTCAGAGAATGAATATTAGAAAATGTTGTTCTACTTGACGAGCAACCTGTCATTTTAATGTTATCCTTCAAAGGAAAATATAAGTTGTAAAAGTATTGAAACAATTTTGTCTATTGATTTGATTGGGTCGACGAAGTAACAAATAACTAAATTGGGACTTCAGATGGTTTTTTCGAGCAAAGTCAAGAACTACTATTAAATGTCAGTTGCAGTCGAGTGATATACTGGGTGATATTGAAAACGGATCATCAAGATTTTTGCAATTTTTTTCCCTCAAAAAATGGTTGAAGAAGCTGTGAAATCTTACAGATTAATGTGTTTGAAGCAAATTTGATCACATTTCAGCAACTGTTTTACATTTCAATCGTTACTTAATCAAATTTCCTTGCAAATTTGAAATCAAATTATGTATGAGATCAACCAGGAAAACCCAGTTTTGATCCAGCAAAAGAAGCTTGAATGGCTTAACATCCAGTTTTATTTCATTTGTTGCCCTTAAAAAGGCAATGGTTTTTCAGAACTATGAGAGAATCAAGGTACTAAACTTTATTCCAAAAACTGAATTAGATCAACTTAGACCATTTTTTACGTTATTTTTGCCCAATATTCTTTTATCTTAACCTTAATTTCTACGCAAGTTGTCAATTTTTGATGCTGTCCATCACAGCAAGCACATGGTTTTTGCGAATTCTGAAATCATTCACTTTAAAAACACTTTTGGCATTTTGAAATATTGCTGTTGCTAGTATGTGCTCGAATTTCTTCAGTTGTCTCGTGACTGGATAAGTTGAGATATATTTTTCAATCTGAAATTCATATTTATGGATTGGTTCTGCAAAAAAAAGACTTGAACTGGGCATGGACGATTATCTACCAAAACTTTTGCGCACGGTTGTGATTTTAGAACTTTCAATAGAAGCTAAGCAAAAAATGAAATACTTGAGTTTTTGTAGGAGAATGAAGGAGGTAGGTTTTGATTTCGAATTTGTATGAAGACGCCACATTTCTGACTAAAATTTTCAAAAGCGCAGTTTTTGAATGCGATTTTAAACTGAACAACTTTCAATGACAGATAACTCTATCTGTAGCTAGGTTTCATTGCATAATTCCACTTGTTATTGTAGTAGAAACGAAAATTGTGATAGGAGCAAAAAGACAGAGTTGACTTTTTTCAGGCGCTGGGAGCAAATATGATGTCACTGGACCATTCAAAAATATGCGGAATTCTGATTCCATGGACAAAACTAGCAATGTTGGAGATCCTGGCTTCTGGATTTATGAAGTGAAGCAGGATTTGTCCAAACCAGCAATCCGAGGACCCCCTAAGGAAATTGCTACTTTCTGTGGCAATGGTGGTGAGGCTATCCCGTCAGTCATCCCCATGTATATGGGTCCAGGGAAGGGGCTTCGGCTGACGCCCTGCTTGGAAACTCTTTTTCCAATGGAGGTTTCCTTGAGACTTGTCGGAAAGTCGTTTGAAAAAATGATCAACGCCACTGTCGAAGAGGATGATTTTCGCTACATCAAAGCGGATGTACCGGAACTCTGGGGCTCAAATGAAGCAGTGTCGGTTCATGTCATTTCCAATGGCGACGACATTCAGACGCCGATTGAACTGTACTTTTCAGGAGAACAGTTCGATAGCAACAAGCTCTATATAACGGAAACTTCATCAGAAAAGAGTGAACTGCGAGTTGAGTGGCCTAAAGTGACCTTGACTGGGGAAACAGATCTCGAAATTCGAGAATACAGTTTCAGTGAGTTTTGCACTGATTTCTTTGAACATTTTGAAGCCAAATTTTTTTGTCACTTTTTTCTTCAAAAATTAAGGCCTTCTCAACGTTTCAGGGAAATTTAGAAGCTTATTTTGCTTAACAATAAATTACATAAATTAGATTTTTCAACCCCTTCTTTACATAAAGTAGAAATATGAATCCTTCCAAGCAAAAACATTAGATTAATCCCTGCACATATTGTCTTCGTCCAGGAGTTTGGGGTGAAGTGGCAAAGGCTTCCGCCTCTAGGTCGAAAGGTGGTCTGAGGTCCACCATGATACATGATTGTTGCCTGGTGGGTGAGTCAACGCTTTTCAAAACAGAAACGTAGCAATAAAGTTGCATGCAGCTCTTAAACAAAAACAGAACAGAGCTTAACAGCTGTTCTCCGTAGGATGCTGAATACCTTGTACGGATTCTTTCATACTTGGATTCATAAGTGGTCTTACTCTTATGCAGGGGCGGATTTAGGGGGGGGGGGGGGGCGGGGGGCGGACGCCCCCCCCCCCCCCCCTCAGGGATTTGACCCCCTGCCGACCCAAAGGGTCCCCCCTTTGATACTTTTTCAGAAATCCATTTTTGGCCGACTGACCCTAAAATTTTTCTAAAGGCGCCTTCGGCGCCAATATATGCTATTTTTGAGGGGCAGCGCTCCAAAAAAACGCATTTTTTTTGTCAACATTTTTCAAAAAGTGCCCAAAAACGGCTTTTTTTTTTACTGTTTTTTTTCAAAAATTTGCCTGCGGCGCAGAAAATTTTGCAAAATAGGGGCAGAACAGTGCTTTGGGAGAGCGCGAAAAATCAAAATCAATTTGGTCGACCTAAAAAAAAAAAAAGGTCGTCAAAATTTTGGAAAATTTTTTGAAAATCCGCCCCCCCTCGAGAAAATCCTAGATCCGCCCCTGCTCTTATGTAATACGAAAGCTTAAAAAACTAAATAGGTTTTCACAAACCGTACTTTGGGGCTTTGTTTTCTTGTTCACTATAGTCTTCATTAAAAATTCAAATTGACATAAAATTCTTCAAAGCTTGCATAATTTAATCCAGAATATGGCCAACTTTGCAATAATCTAACTCCCAGAACTTCGAGAAAAATGATTGGAGATAAAATATTTTTTTATACTTGAACTCAGTCGAGATCTTCAGAAGGAAAACTTTTTTGGTTAAAAACTAACTTTTGATCGCCAAAAACCGACTGAAAAAAGCCACCACAAGCATGTCTTCCGTTTACTTTAAAAATTGGAAGAAAACTATCCTTTCTATTTTACTTAGCGTTTCAGGGGATAACTTGACTATAAACAAATTTTTCATTTTCTTTCTCATTTTGTCGGTTTTTCAACCAAAAAACGTTTCAAATGGCAATAAAATAAAATATGAACATTTAGGACTTGACATAAAAGAAGTCTTGTTATTTCAGCGTTTTGTTTCAACACCCTCGCGACTTTTGACCGACCAATCAAAAAATCTGGCAAAAGTTTTTCTTGTTTTTTCATCTGAGCAGCTCAGGGTATCCTCTAGATTTAGTTTCATCAACTCAAAAAATCGGTAGGAATATAGATTGGAAACTGTTGGTAATTTAGTGTCGAACTATGATCGGATTACAACAGTTTTAAAGAGCCAGTTTTGCCCTCAAAAGTAGCCCGGGTTGACCAAAAATGCTAGTCATACAATTTCCATATATGGAAAAATGCTATTCATACACTTTCCATGCAGTTCCATACGTACAGAAAATTGCATGAAAGATCTATGATTACTATTTTTTCATATATGGAAACTGTATGACTAGCATTTTTCCATAAACCAAAAAAAAATGATTTTTTACATTTTAATTTCTCAAAATTTTTTGGTTGTATTCGTAACATAAGACAAATAACATAAACCTTGGTTACTCAAACATACTAACCAAAAGTTTGACCGTCTCGCATCAAAAAAGTTTTGGAAATAGTCTGAAATGTTTAATTCTGTCTCACGCAAATAATATAACAAAAGTATCAAACTTTTAAATTTTGGCAAACATTTTCGAAGATGATTATTTCTAAAATTTGAAATTTCAAATTACCAGACATTGATCAAGGCATACAAAAACATGCCATACAAAAAGCGAGGAGTCTTGAGCACTTTTGAAAAATGTTATCAAGAGAAAAGGAAAAAAATCCCATATTAGTACATCCAGGACTACGCGTTAAACACACAAAAAATTAAATTTTGCATGCAAATTTTTTTTCAAAAAATGTTCCTTTGAGTACAAAAATCTTTTTGCGGTTGAAAAAAAACACAAAAAAGTTTTTGGGGGCAATTTAAATTGCCCCCAAATACTTTGAAACATTTTTGTTGTCGCCATCAAAAAAATGCTAGTCATACAATTTCCATATATGGAAATTGTATGATTAGCATTTTTTTTGACAAAAAGTTTTTTTTTTATTTAGTACGATACACCAAAATTTATGCCAAAACAAGAGAAAAGTTCTTCGAAAATTCGATGACACCATTTTAGCAAAATGTTTGAAATTTGTATGACTAGTATTTTTTCATAAACTTAGTTCATGGAATAGTATGATTAGCATTTTTGGTCTATGGAGGTCAACCCGGGAGTATAGATTGGCGCCGAAAGCGCCTCTGAAAACCTTAGGGTCGGTGAGTTACTAATAGATATGTCACAATAAAGCCACAATAAATTGGACTCTTTGAGTGATTTTGGGGGAAAATCCTGATGAAGGGAACATTTTGCGGTCAAGTTTTTCTTTTTTGATTTGTTGAGCGTTTTTGATGACAAAGTTGCATTTCTACGATATGCAATAAATCACTAAGTATGTAGTAAGCAAATTTTAGCAAGTATCTTTTGCATAAGGGTCAAAAAGTGGGAAAAAACTATAAGTCAGTAGATGAACAATGGGTAAACTACAGTCGCACATACTAAATTGACAATTTGATCTAAATTGACAAATCTACAGATTAAAATAAGTACAGTGTCGATTTTTCGACAACCCAATCTAAGCATATAAAATTGGTTTTTACGAGAAAAGTGAATAGATTTTAGCACCAAAATAACAGAGTCTTCTATTCTGTAAAACCTGTTTATCATCAACAGATAATCTGCATGTTTTCAGTTTAAAATCATTATACAAAAAAAACAGTATTTAATCTGAACAAAATCTGTAGATAATCTGTACATGAATAGAACAAAATTGATTATTTAGTCTGACAAATATACAAGTTGTAACAATATCAGTTTTGACCATTCGAAACTTGAGTGAAATAATCGTTTTTTTTTCACTTAAACTTGTGAGCAGGAAAACTTGTGAGTGTTATAGTGAGCTGAAATCACTTAAGGAGAAATGGTTACCTCAAACTACAAACTTCATGGAATCCTTTTTAGATTTTTCAACTTCAGAGTTTTCGCGGTAAAAAAAGTATTTTGGTACCAAACTTCTTCAATTGACATAAAATAAGAACAACCTTTTCACTGCATTTTGGTGAAAAAAACATATCAACAAAAATAGAAAAGCGGTTTAGAACAAATAGTTTTTGCTGTAAGACATTTCCACATTTCTGATTTTAAATTTTTTTTTCAAATCAAATATCAGCTCAAAAATTCAATTGAAAAGCTTACGGTATAGCTTTGTTTCATTATCTCATATTATCTGGTGGGCAAGTATGTTTTAAAAAATCAGTATATAATATGTAGATAATCTGCATATAAATTGTATACATTTTGTGTATAGCATGATTGATATTTGATACAAAAAAAACAATTGAGTGTTTTGGTAATGGTTATGTAATGAAGATAAACTGTAAGAATTCTTGAATGTTAAATTGCATTGTTATCGATTGTGTAAACTATAAACAAGGTTTTGCTAAATAAAATTACAACATGGATCTGAAATCTGTATATATTTCTGTAGATAATCAATTTTTAGCCATTTTCTTCATTGCGGATTCTGCTGGATTCACGTTCGATACTCTTTTTTAGGTGCAACTACGGGCTACGAATACCTGTCAGACGATACTGTGACGCTGCAACCTGAAAACAGTTTTTTCAACTACGCCTTCGGAGAAAACGACGCCGTTCTTTTTCTGCTGAAAACAGAACAAGGTAAAAGTTCTGATTTTTTCTACAAAAAAAAGCCTCAGTCAAATCAGTTGGAAATAAACCACTGAACGTACCACTGAATAAACCACTGAGATTAATAATAAACCACAGAGCGTAACTCTGAATGTTCATGTAAAAGGTATGTTTTTTTTTTAGTTTTTTCCACTATTAATAATGTTGAAACTATCTATATCTGAACTTCGTCTTGACAAATATCTCATTTAATTTGCATGCTCTATTGCAAAAGCAAGTTGATTGTACTGAATAGTTGCGCATTATAATTGAAACAAAAAGTTGCGAGACTGGTTCAAACGAATATAATTATTTGTCAAAAGAAATTTATAAACCGTTGATTTTATTCAAAAATTGAAGATATCAGTAAGCTTTTAACAGAAAAATACTCGAGCTTAAGGATATTTCAGGTACTCATTATCACATTGTACCCAAAAAGCATCAAATCAGCTGCGAAGACTGGATAGCCAGAGAACTTGAGAAAGACACCTCGAACTGCAAAGCCAGACTGTCTGCAGACCTTCCTTGTCCTTCGAACTCTGCCGCGCGTGACCCTGACCTCACAGACGCTTCCTGGGCTCATGAAGAGGTTGCCAATGGTCCCAATTTGTGGTTCTATGACCCCTGTTGCAACCAGCAAGAAGCTTATGGAGCCTCAGAAAACGAACTCTGCGATGCGAATCAGTGCGCGTTCAACGAAGGAGCTGACTTTTGCATAAGGTCTGCGTTAGTTTCATGTACCGACCTTTCCGATGGTAGAATTGATTATGTCTCAAACCAGTGTTGTTACAATTTTGATGGATCTCTGATTGTCGATGTCGATGACGGCGCAGGAAGAATTAGCTACCAGAGCGCATCTCCTCAAAATCTGCATCAATTGTATATTGACGAGCTGGAATTACAACAACAATGCTGTTCGAATCAATTGTTGTGCAGAAAGTTTCTGGAAATTCGACCGACTGTCATTGGATCTTACACCGGAAGTTTGACAGTGTCTGTCAAATTTGGAGGACATTTCACTACAGTTGACGGTCTTGAGCATGCGTTCTTGGGTCTGGGGGTTTATACTTTGCTGGAAACCTTCGACAGTGTTCAAACGGAAGTCCAGATCAGCACTCGACCTTACGGTGCGGGTTCTGTGATTTCGGGATTTGCTATCATTCGCGGGGAAACTTTGGTTGAATTTTACAAACAAGTTAACGGCGAGTATCCTTACAATTTTGTTTTTATCAATAAAAAAGAAGTGTCAAGTTCTCTCAACGACATCGGCTATGTGAAGGCAACGGGGATCGAACGTCAAGGCGTGCGCTTCGAGATGCTCGGAGACTCTGATTCTCACTTCAGGGTTACAATTCCGGACTGTGGTCTCATTTTGAACGTGGTTGTCATGGGACCCTACATCAACCTTTTTGTAACTATTCCACACGAGTTCAGAGGAAATTTGAAGGGGTTGTTAGGGCGGTTTGATGGGCACTGGTTCAATGATTTTGAGCCCAGAGGTTTGCATGTTTTTCTTCTGATCACTTCAGGAAGTAGGAACGCAATATACGGGTTGGGTGTGTTATTTCCGACGGACATTTAATGCCTAAACTTCTAGGGATTCAAATTAATAACTCCTAGGGATTCAAATATGGATTTACATTAAAGCCATTTCTGCCGTTGTTCGGAATCCAAAAAAGTTCAAAAGAGTTATCATATTGTCGAAAGCTGGATGACACTAAATTCGACGGCTCAAATTCAATTCTAGCTCAGCTCTAATTCAATTGAATCAAATTCAATTCTTAATTCATTTTTACGTTGTTGTTTCGACTTTCGTAACAAGTTTCGAATATTTGTGCTCGGGTGTTTTTTTTTCTTCAGACAAATTTCGACTTTTTAATTAGCAATTTTTGACGGAGTTTTTTTAAATATCACTCAAAAAGTATTGTTGTTCGGAGCTTTAATTTGAAAACATATTTCATCTGTGATTATTTTCGTAAAGTTATGGACAATTAACGCGCGATTTATTTCGCGTTATTAACGCGTAAGCGGAGATTTAATCCGTCTTAGAAATCGTTCCAAATCGGTTGAAGGAAGCTTATTTGCCATAATTGATTTATAAGTAGTAAGGAAATCTATCACTTTGTGTTTTATATGGCGTGTGGGGTGATGCTTTTCAGAAAAAATCTCAAACTAAAAAAAAATTGTTTTTATTTTATTACTTTTTATTTTTTCATTACTGTTCGATAGACCTTAAAAGCCTTTCGGAACATTTAGAGCTTCACCCTTATACGAGCAGTTTTTTCTAAATATAAGTAAATCTCATTTTTGAAATTTCTTATCTAATTTAACTATTCCTTACTACTTTACTTAAAAAATGTCATAAAACATGAATATAAAATTTGAAAGAAATTTTTTATGAAATTTTTTGAACTTTTTACTCTACTCATTGTGGTCAGAACATTCTGTGATACTTGAACAGAAACGGCTGTCTTTGCTCTGCAACTCCGTTTCTTTTTCTCCCCACTTTCCTAATGAAAGTAACGGAATATTTGTGCTCGGTTTTTTTTTTTCTTCAGACAAACTTCGATTTTTTAGCTAGCCATTTTTGACAGATTTTGTTTTATATCATTCAAACTGTATTGTTGTCCTGAGATTAAATTGGAGACAAGACTGCTCGTATCAGGGCGAAGCCCTGAATGTTCCGACTGCGTTCTAAGGTTTTATGGAGCAGTAATAACATTAAAAAATTAAATGTAACAAAAAATAATGAAAACAATTTTTTTTCTAAAATTTGAATTTTTTTAAATGAAAATCTTCGCCCCACACGCCATATAAAGTACAAAATGATAAATTTCGCTCCTTGTAACAAATCAATTATGGCAAACAAGCTTCTTTCTACCAATTTGGATCAATTTTAAGACGGATTAACGTTCCGCTTACGCGTTATTAGCGCGAAAAATATTGCGCGTTAATTGTCCCAAATTGGCCAAAATGGCAATTTTTAAACCCCTCATAACTTTACAAAAAATGATCACAGGTAAAATATCTTTTCAAATTTGAGCTCAGGACAACAATATCTTTTGAATTATACAAAAAATTTCGTCAAAAATGGCTGGTTAAAAAGTTGAAATATGTCTGAAGAAAAAAAACCCACCCGAGCACAAATATTCCGTTACTTTCGTATCGAAAGTCGGAACAATAATATTTTACCTGTGATCACTTTTCTTCAAGTTTTCGTTAAGTTATGGGGGTTTAAAATATGCCATTTTGGCCAATTTGGGAAAATTAACGCGCGATATATTTTGCGCTATTAACGCGTAAGCGGAGATTTAATCCGTCTTAGAAATCGTTCTAAATTGGTTGAAAGAAGCTTATTTGCCATAGTTGATTTGTAGTTGAGCAAAATCTATCCTTTTGTACTTTAAATAGCGTGTGGGGTGGAAGATTTTCACAAAAAATCGCAATTTTTCTTTGAATTTTTTTTTTCATTTTATCGTATTACATTCCATTTTTTTCTATGTTATTACTGCTCCATAGACCTTAAAAGGCTGTTGGAACATTCAAGACTTCGCCCTGACACGAGCAGTCTTTTTATCTTTGCAAAACAATAATTGAAAGCTGCTTAATTAACATTTGAAACAAGAAATTGTTCTGAAAATCAAATTGCTTCAAGACTCTTAGATTTTTTTTGAGGCTGAGACTTTTTTTAATATTTTTTTTCGTAACTATGGAGCGATCAAAAAAACTTTAGTATGTCAACCTGTGCGGGTTTTCCTTCAGATACCCAAAACATAGCCAAAAAAACTGCTTTTGCTCTTGCAGTGATATCATGCCATAACAATAAACCATTCTATTAAATCATAATTTCGGCCTAGGAGTTTCGAAAATCATCTCAGTGGATTCCGATCTTTCCAAGCTGCATTGGAGCTTCGGGGAGACTTGGCTAGTGGATCACCGCCGATGGCTTTTCCGTTCCACCCTTGCAGATCAGATTAAATGGGAAAACGAGGGTGCATATATAGACACCTCAGTGTATACTGTGACCGAAGAAATGGAATCTACCTACGACAGCGTGCGTTATTTTCTTTAAAATTTTTTTGATAATGATTCATTTTTCTTTGAAACTGAAGTCAAAAACTCAATTACACACAAGTCAAACACTCAATTTCATTTTTTCTGTCTCTGAGTTCATTGCCACCTTTGATACTGTGATGGCAGTAGTCCGATATCCTGATGACCTGTTAAATATTATTTTGATATGATGCCAAAAAGGTGAAGGTCAACATGCAATGTGTTATAAAAACGACATTTTAGATTCAGTGTGCTACCAGATAGATAGGATCATATGCCATCAGTTGAGCACTCTTAAAACTTGTTGATTCGTAAGCCGTTATATTCAGTAATATGAAGTAGTTAGTATTAACTCACAAGACATCCCATGGCGCGGCAGACGAAAGGATTCGCAAACCAAGAGAATATAACGCACGGGGAAGTTTGGTATTCTGGGCGACTGCCTTAGTAGACCTACCATGGCTTATAAAAACCTGGTTTGCCCAACTCATGGAGGCAGTAACAGTAAAAAAGAAAGTGGGCCTCAAAGAATTACCTCCTCACGCAGTGATTTTAGAACCAGATCAGAATCAACTACTCTGGAAGCAGCTAGAACTTAAATAGATAAATTCACAAAGTAAACCTGTCAATAACATCAAAAAAACATATGGGGACCTGAAAACTATAAAATGCAGAGGTGCAGCAAGAATTAGTGTCAAGATTATTTTTATCTCTGGGAAAAGAAAAAAAGAAAAAAAAACGACTACTACAAAGGAACATTCAAGTGGCAGTGTTCAAACAACCATTCAAAGACCCTGCGACTTAGTAACAGCTACGTTCTAAATGACCAATGACCAAAAAAGTCACATACCAGATAAATCAGTTGTCACCAAGGCACATAAAGCAAAAAAGTCACTATAAATGTTTCATGCAAAAGTTGCATTATAGTTTCATGCATAATAGTTACAAAAGGGTAACACAGGATCATGTACGGTTAATGGAGGATGTAATAAAAATGATAGACGAAAAAATCTAGCAGTGAAAATAATAAGTTAAATTGACTTACAGATTGTGTCTGGAGTTGCTTACACTGAAAAGAATGAAAATGGAAGCGATCCAGAAACTGAACCATCCGAACTTCTAAGATCATTTCTGGGAAAAAGAAGCATTCAAAGCAATTGCGGCAATAACAAACAAAAGATTAATACAATTGCTGAGATAAAAAAAATGAAAAAAAAACTACAATGAAAAATTTCCATGAACCAGTTACAAAATTTAAACGAACATCTCTACAAAAAAGATGCGATAGAGATTATTACAAAATTAATTACGATCAGGGGCGGATCTAGGATTTTCTCGAGGGGAGGGGGCGGATTTTCAAAAAAATTTCCAATTTATTTTTAAGTCGACCATATTGATTTTTCGAGCTCTCCCAAAGCACTTTTTTGCCCCTATTTTGGCAAAATTTTTTGCCTTGCAGGCAAACTTTTGAAAAAACAGTCAAAAAGCCGTTTTTGGACACTTTTTGAAAAATGTTGACAACAAAATCGCGTTTTTTTGGCGCGCGCTCCCCCTCAAAGTTGGTATATATTGGCGCCAAAGGCGCCTTTAGAAAAATTTTAGGGTCGGTCGGCCAAAAATGAATTTCTGAAAAAGTATCAAAGGGGGACCCTTTCGGTCGGCAGGGGGTCGAATCCCTGAGGGAGGGGCGTCCGCCCCCCCCCCTAAATCCGCCCCTGATTACCATAACCTAAACAGAGACACAAGGGTAAAATTCAATGCTAGTCAAAACCGGCTTGGTGCACCATTAGAGCAACCCACACCCAGTTTCAAGCGTTAACAATCGATTTTATGACGATTTTAGTCCCAGTCTTACTAAAATTGTTTATAATCAAATAATAATTGATTATAATCTCTCTTTTTGAAATCAAATTATAATCAATTATAGCACATTTTAATCGTTGAGAATCGATTACTTATCCGTCTGTTTTTCGATACAATTATAATCGATTTCGATTATAATTCAATATTTTTATCCAAATTTCTAATTCATGAGTTTTGCACAAAAATCTATTATAATCAATTATAATCGATTACAATGCCTTTTTTTGCACATTTTGTTTTCGAAATTGCATCTAAATCGCTTATATTTTATTCTTTTTGTTGATGTTGGTTCCTGTGAAAACTGAAAAATTAGTTTATGAAAATTTCAAGTCAAGTCAAATTTTCAATTTTTTTTCATTTTTTCCCCCATAAGGTTGTTTCATGATGCACATTTTAGGTTTTTTCAACCACCTAAACATCAGAAACTGATTTAGCTTCACGATTGATTCGGAAGATTTCTTTTTTACCTACCGCGGGAACCGTTCAATTCATATGGAATGATCTCTATGAAACTTTTGTTTCGCGCTGAAACTTTGCGTTCAGATTAACGAAATAGTGACAAGACATCTCTTTTTTAGGGGTTTTGTTTTGGATTAACAGAAACTATTAACCCATAAAATATTCAAATGTTGTTTTGGTGTGACACATTTTTAGCAAAATAAGAGATTATAATCGATTACAATCGGTTTTAAGGATTTTTTGTGTGAACTGTAATCAATTATAATCTATTCTAATCTATTGGAAGATATCACGACTATAATCAACTATAAATCCTTTAAACCCGTATTTTTTGTTTTTATAATCAATTCTAGTTGTCAAAAAATCATCTTAACTATCCGTTATAAACGGTTACTTACGACTGATCTTGCATGCGGGATCTTTCTGAAATCGAGAAATGGATCCCATTCTCACTTGCTTTAAGGTTTGCGTCATACATTAACTCACGTCATATCCGAGTTTTGATTCATGAGTGTTCCTAAATTTTTTTGGGCTTGACGTACACTAACTGTTACATGATCTGATATGTCATTAGTCTCAGCTTCTAAACTTGGCATTTTGTTATAAAAGCAAACATCAAAAGCAGTTTAACTCCCTTAACCTAACTGTGCATCCTCAGAATGATTCGAAGTCAAAATCCGAAAATAACTGAAACAGTTATCCACTGTTAGATCAATTCCTTTTTAAATCACTGCATACAGATTGATTGTATCAATCATCTATCTGGGTTGACAACCATGTGAGAAAACTGTTTATCATACATTTTCATTTATGGCGACTATGGAAAAAATGCGTATCATACAATTTTCATACAAAATTTAAAAACTGTTTTACGGGTTTTTAAAGAAATATTTATGTTCTATTTGCCTCTTCTAAATCTTTTTGATCAATAAAAAAGTGGTTTTTAGTTTTTGGATATAAAAATCTTATCATACAATTTTTGATGTATGAAAACTGCATGATAAGCATTTTGCGATAGAAAAAATCAAATACTCAAAAATCATTAAGAAAGGCTTCTGGATAATTTTTAGTATGTTAAAAAGGTTATTTTTTGAAAGAAATTGTGTTAATTCTCAAAAGCATGGTTTTAATTTTGGTCGAAAAAATGCATATCGTAAAATTTTCATTTTTTTGGTATGGTCTCGCTAGAATAAGGAGCTTTGAGCTGTCTCAAATTTGCGAAGAAATGCTGGAAAATGCATTCAAGGTACATAGTTTCTAATTTTTTCTCGGTGTTCTCCATTGTTCAGAGATGGCATTCATTATGGGTGGCTCTTAGATTCAGCTGCCTCAATTTTTTTTGGAAAATTGACATGTTAGTAAATCAATTTTCAATCATGCAAGAAAAGGTTTCCAACCAGTTTCATAATTTAAAAAATTTGAAATGTCATAGAATGGGAAGAAATACCACACACACAATTTCTTAGTATGGAAAAAAGGCTTGTCACACATTTTCATAGTAGGAAAAAAAATTAATCATGCATTTTCATAGAATGGAAAAAATGCCTATCATACAATTTCATAGTATAAAAAAAATGATTATCATACAGTTTCATCGTATGAAATAATGCTTATCTTACAACTTCATAGTATGAAAAAATGCTTATCATGCAATTTCATAGTATGAAAAAACGCTTATTATACAATTTTATAGAATAAAAATGGTATTCATGCTAGCTTCTTCCAATTTTTTGTTAAAAATTGTTTTAATTAAAGCTTATTTTTTAATTCCAGACCATGTAAAAAATGCCTATCATAAAATTCCATAGTATGTAAAAAATGCTTATCATGCTATTTTCATAGTTTTTTTGGTCTATATAATAGTATGAAATAGTATGATAAGCATTTTTTATAATATGAAATAGTGTGACAAGCATTTTTTGTCAACCCGGGTATTTGCAGATTAATTCAGTTATCGCCAACACGTTTCACAAAACTGTCGTAATTCATTTTCACTGTATTATTTTCTACTTTACACTTTGAATTTTAGGATTGCGTATAACAAAAACTGTCAAAATCTGTAAAAAATCATTTATGAAGTCTGCTATTGAGCTGAAAATAGTTTTTTTTGGTTTTATATAATTTTCTACATCACCGCCTTTTTGACTTGTTTGTTGTAACCAATTCATAGTAATGAGAGTAGTTTCCTGAAAAAATCTCTTCGTTTGTGCTATTACTACTGGTTTGTCTCAAATAGTAATATAGATTTCCAAATCATCACAAATTTTATTTCGTGATGAAACTTTACGTTCAGATTAACAAAATAGTGACAAGATATCTCTTTTTTAGGGGTTTTGTTTTGGATTAACAGAAACTATTAACTCATAAAATATTCAGATGTTGTTTTGGTGTGACACATTTTTAGCAAAATAAGAGATTATAATCGATTAAAATCGGTTTTAAGGATTTTTTGTATGAACTGTAATCAATTATAATCGATTCTAATCTATTGGAATATATCACGACTATAATCAACTATAAATCCTTTAAACCCCTAATTTTGGTTTTTATAATCAATTCTAGTTGTCAAAAAGTCATCTTAACTATCCGTTATAAACGATTACTTACGCCTGAATTTGCATGCGGGATCTTTCTGAATTCGAGGATTTGATCCCATTCTCACTTGCTTTAAGGTTTGCGTCATACATTAACTTGGGTTTTTTCTTTTAATGTTTTCGTTGCTCCGAGTTTTGATTCATGAGTGATCCTAAATTTTTTAAGGTTTGGCGTACACTAACCGTTTCATGATCTGATATGTATTAGTCTCAGCTTCTAAACTTGGCATTTTGTTACAAAAGCAAACATCAAAAGCAGTTTAACTCCCTTAACCTAACTGTGCATCGTCAGATTGATTCATTGTTTTAAAGTCAAAAACCGAAAACAATTGAAACAGTTATCCACTGTTAGATCAATTCATATTTAGATCACTGCATTGAGAGTGATTGCATCTATCGTCTATCGGGGTTGACGTCCATGTGAGAAAAATGTTTGTCATACATTTTCATATATGCGACTATGGAAAAAATGCGTATCATACAGTTTTCATACAAAATTTTAAAAATGCATTAAGGGTTTTTAAAGAAATAATTATGTTCTATTTGCCTCTTCTAAATCTTTCTGGTCAATAAAAAAGTGGTTTTTAATTTTTTGATTAAAAAAATCTTATCTGACAATTTTTGATGTATGAAAAATGCATGATAAGAATTTTTTGCGATAGAATATATTAAAATACTCAAAAACCATTAAGAAAGGTTTCTGGATAATTTTTTAGTAAGTTTAGAAAGTATATTTCTTGAAAGAAGTCGTGTTGATTCAAAAAGCATGATTTCAATTTTGGTCGAAAAAATGCATATTGTAATATTTTCATTTTTTCGGTTTGGTCTCGCTAGGATAAGGAGCTCTGAGCTGTCTCAAACTTGCGGAGAAACGCTGGAAAATGCATTCAAGATACATAACCTCTGATTTTTTCTCGGTGTTCTCCATTGTTCAGAGATGGCATTGGTTATAGGTGGGTCTCAGATTCAGCTGCCTCAATTTGTTTGGAAAATTGACATGTTAGTAAATCAGTTTTCCATCATTCAAGAAAAGCTTTCCATCCAGTTTCATAATTTTAAAAGCAAATTTAAAATGTCATAGAATGGGAAGAAATGCCAAACAGACAATTTCATAGTATGGAAAAAATGCTTGTCACACATTTTCATAGTATGAAATAAATTATTATCATGCAATTTCATAGTATGGAACAAATGCCTATCAAACATTTTCATAGTATGAAAAAAATGATTATCATACAGTTTCATAGTATGAAAAAATGCTTATCTGACAATTTCATAGAATGAAAAAATGCTTATCATACAATTTCATACTATAAAAAAACGCTTATCATACAATTTTACAGAATAAAAAAGTATTCAAGCTAACTTCTTCCAATTTTTTTGATAAATTGTATTATTTAAAGCTTATTTTTTTAATTTCAGACCATGTAAAAAAATGCCCATCATAATATTTCATAGTAAGTAAAAAATGCTTATCATGTTATTTTCATAGTTTTTTTGGTCTATGAAATAGTATGAAATAGTATGATAAGCATTTTTTTATAATATGAAATAGTGTGATAAGCATTTTTTGTCAACCCGGGTATTTGGAGATTAATTCAGTTATCGCTAACACGTTTCACAAAACTGTCGTAATTCATTTTCACTGTATTATTTTCTACTGTACACTTTGAATTTTAGGATTGCGTATGATAAAAACTGTCAAATTCTGTAAAAGATCATTTATGAAGTCAGCTATTGAGCTGAAAATAGTTTTTTTTTGGTTTTATATAATTTTCTACACCACCGCCTTTTTTGACCTGTTTGTTGTAACCAATTCGTAGTAATGAGAGTACTTTCCTGAAAAAACCTCCTCGTTTGTGCTATTACTACTGGTTTGTCTCAAATAGTAAGATAGGTTTCCAAATCATCAAAACTTTGAGCAATTGATTTTTTGATTTGAAGCAGCAAACAAGTATCAATTTTCACTCTGTTTTCTTCGCATACAGAGTTGCAGTTCTTGCTCGTCAGCTTTTAGTTAGTTCTTGTTTTTGAAATTTGGTTTATTTATCTAATGTCAATGATGTCAATGTCAGAAGTGTTTAACGCTGAGAATTTGGAAAAAAATACAGTGGTTATTGTATTTCTTTTGTGTAAAACCCGCTAAAAATTTAGTAGCCGCATGTTTTTAATACAACTGCCGTTACACGTTGAAAATTGCGTTTTTTCGTTGTGCTTTTTCATCCATACTAGTACAGTGCTGATTTAAATTATCCGGACAAAACGAAAAAAACTTGAATTTTCAAACGCGTTTTTCTCAAATTGGGTTAACATTAGACAAAAAGTAAAAAGAACAAAAGTTGCTTAGAATTTCACCAGAATTAATATGGTGCCATTTTTTCTCGGAAATTCTCAACAAAAATTTTACCCCAAAAATGGGTCAATTTGGCTCTTTTCAATTAATCAAGAATTACGCGGAAACTACTTTGTTAATTGATGAGAAAATTATATCACAGGAAGCCTCTTACACAGCTTAACAAAGTTTAAGAAGGGTTAAATCTCCAAAAATTTGCGCAAATTGTTTAAAATTCATTTTTAAATCGAACTTCTGGGTTTTATATAGTAAAAATCACATTTATTGACTATCAAGTGATAATTTTTTCTCTTATACTGGTTTTTGGAGATTTAACCCTTCTTAAACTTTGTTAAGCTGTGTAAGAGGCTTCCTGTGATATAATTTTCTCATCAATTAACAAAGTAGTTTCCGCGTAATTCTTGATTAATTGAAAAGAGCCAAATTGACCCATTTTTGGGGTAAAATTTTTGTTGAGAATTTCGGAGCAAAAATGGCACCATATTAATTCTGGTGAAATTCGAAGCAACTTTTGTTCTGTTCACTTTTTGTCTAATGTTAACCCAATTTGAGAAAAACGCGTTTGAAAATTCAAGTTTTGTTCGTTTGTCCGGATAATTTAAATCAGCACTGTATATTGGCGCCAAAGGCTTCTTAAAACCATATTGAGTTTGGTTTAACAAAAACAGTTGTCGGATAAAATTACTGAAGGGCACCCTGTGGGAAGAGCGAGTGACTAAAACACCACTTCTCGCTGCCCGGAGGATTTCATCGGGCATAATCGACATAGTCAATTTTGATCTACATCAATTTTTGTCAAAAATTATCTTAGAGCCTTTTTCTATTCATGTACTTAGGCGTGCGAATCTGACGCTGCGTGTATAATGGACATGGTGCTCAGTGGAGGCAACGAGAACATACCGACTTACTACAAGGACATTCGGAGTGTCAGGGGAGCAGAGACGGGTTGTTTTACCGATTTGTACAGAAATGTGACGGCAGCAGGTGTGAAAAAATTGTCCGCTGCTTGGTTACTTGCAGTAGTGGCGCTGATTAATTTCATCACTCGCGTGATCGTATGCATCTTGCATGCTTATAAAAAACATGATAATCAATATGGATACAGTTGACCCATGACACATTCAGTGCTTAACACTGCTGGGAAAAAGGATTTAATTTTTCTATTTGGAGGAAAAAGTACAGATTGTGATTAGAAAAAGCGTTGAACACAATCTTTTAACTTCAATCGAGACATGCTCAAAATGTCTTAATTTAATCCGTCATTTGGCACGGTTTACAATTATTCTAATGCTGCATATGTATGTTTGTTATCTCATTAACAAAACATGTTTTATCACTTTTTTCAAAATATAGCAAAGTAATAATATCTGCTTACAACAAAAAAGAATATATATTTTGAATCATTGCCGTTTCCATAAATTTCATCTAGTGATTAGCTTAAGTAGTTCGCAAGCAGGGGCGGATTTAGGGGGGGGGGGCGGGTGCGGACTTCGCATACTCCCCCCCACCCCCCTCCCCCCAAGGGATTCGAACCCCTGCCGACCCAAATGGTCCCCCCTTTGTGCTATTTCGAAATATCCATTTTTGGTGATGGACCTAAAATTTTTCTAAAGGCGCCTTTGGCGTCAATATATATTAATTTTGAGGGGGAGCGCGCGCAGAAAAAACGCGACTTTTTGTTCAAAATTTTCCAAAAAGTGCCTAAAAACGCCTTTTTTGACCTGATTTTTAAAACTTTTGCCTACGGCGCAGAAAATTTTGGAGTTTTTAGTGCCTTGGGAAAGGTCGAAAAATCAGTTTGATCGACCTATAAAAACGTCGACAAAACTTTTGAAAATTTTTTGAAAATCCGAGGAGATTTATAGGTTGTCGTACTCAACCTCGTAAAACCACTCGTTACACTAATACATTGAAGCTCGTGTGAGGTGGGGGGAAAAGGAAAAAGAGCCGAAAATCCTAGATCCGCCCCTGATCGCAAGTGTTTCAAAAAAGCGTAAATATATGATGACCAGTATAGCCCTCATTGAAGACACTCGAGTTGTCCATGCTCTATTTGTTATTCCAATCACGACTGAAAACTTTTAATTTATTTATACAAATTTTCTTTATTTAAGAGTTAATTACCCATCAGCTAGAATAAAAAAACCAAGCAAGAATCACCAAGTAAGTATACAGCCCAAGCAAATTTTAAAAAAAACAATCGATGACATCCAAGTTTTTTTCGAAAATTTGATGCTCATTCAACTGATTGAAGCAGCCTGGAATCAGCTTGTCTGGCGTCAAATTTGGGACTTTTAGAGTGCTTAAAAGAATTTGTCAAAAATCAAACTCAGTTTCCGTGTCAACTTCAAGAAACATTTTTGAAGCTTGTGTAAAATTGCCGTTAAAGGAAATTGTTCAAAAAAATGGTGTTGCGTCTCAAAAGAGTTTCTTGTTAAAAAATTAGGATAACACTCGTAGATGATTAAGAGTGGCAACTTAAACTAAGACTAGATTAAGACTAAGGTTGGTTAAGATTCCTACGATAAAATGTAGGCTTTTATTTAAGACTAAATAAAAGACGGTGATGCTATCTAAAGTAAGAGATGTTAAAAAGATTGAATTAGTTTCGGTTGATTTGTTGCATATCATAAAAGATAGTGCGCAAAGTCTACCAAAAGCCGTTGCGTTTTTGGCAGGTGTATATAAATTAACAACGTAAAGGTCAACGATCAGTATAGAGGTTAAGTGATCACACAATAATATTTTTTACATTCCCCGCGAAAATTTATCTAAAAGCTATTACTTTCGCCTCGCAAGAAGAAAAAAAAAGTAATTAAGCGCTCGGGTGAATGAACAAGTGGGCTCGTCGGCCAAGATCCCCAAAAGTGGATCTGAATTGCTAGAGACATAATCTTGGTAAAGCACCGAGGGCCAAAAGAGCGTATTTCATACTAACAAAAATTCTACATACACGGTTACTAGGTCGAAGGAACGGGTGTACGGTTCGGGAAGGACCGTGCGAACAGGCCCGATGGGCCGGAAGAAGTATTCTTCAATTAATAACACAAAAGAACAAAAACAAAGCACCTTAGATCAAATAGCATGTTTTCGTCAGGTAAAATTAAATATAGGCCAGTTACTAGGGACGAGCAAGGAACTGGAATAGCACTGGGGTGAATGAGGCAGTAAGATAGGCAGGGAAATATCTCCAAAGGCAGGCCAAAATAAGAGGCAGTACTGAGACGGATAGATCTAATGGTTATCCAGTGGTAGCACCCAATGGGTGAAGAGAACTTTAACGACATTCAAGCGAGGTTATGGGGCTCAAATAAAGCTTTAAGTGTTATCAAAGTAATCTAAGTTTTTGGCGTATTATGCGAGCACTGGAAGTTTATAAGACTCTAAAGGCGATGGAATGTTAAGTAACATTCAACAATAAACAGGATACTAGAGTACTAAGAGTTTTTAAGAGTTTATGAAAGTTTATGATAGCATCTAGACTGAAACTCCTACTTCTCATTCGTTTCCCGAATTGCCGCTTTGTTAATTGTCCATCTCCTTAACTCCTCCAGCGTCATTGGCCGTCCTAGGAGTTCTATCGCCGAAATGATAGAGGAAGTGTTCAGCCAGTCTGGGTCAGGTACAGTGTGAGCAGATGTTGAAGATTAGGTTTCGGAGGGTAGGCCCGATGGGTCAAATTGAGTGGTACAGACCTCCGGACTAAATTTGACCTTCTTACGAGGAGTATGTTGGTCATCTGCTACCGAGGGCTTTGGATCACTTGGGTAGGCAGAGCTTTCTTCCCGCAAGTGAATTATCGTGGGACGCGAAGATGAGGGTGGTGTTAAGGTTGTCAGGTCTACTAAGTCGACTTGGTGGCTTTCCATTTCTACGGTAGTTGCTTCTATCGTTGTGTAAGCTGGGGCAGGACTAGGTGAATTAAATAATGGGCCGTCCTGATCTTCATTTGTTAAATCGACTACACTGGTAAACACTCTCTCGCCTAGCATCTTGGGAGGCTGTCTAGTTCGCATAGGTCTGGTGTTCTGTCGTGTAAAGATTTCTGACAATTTCTTCGAAGGTGGTGATTTCGTTGGAGATGACGCTTTCCTCTTCGCGGTACCGGACAGTTTCGGTTTTTTAGTGGAGAGGTCAGAGTATAGTTGCTTAGATTCCGCCTCCGCCATGGCGATTGGTTCTACACTAATCTCGGTAAATTCCCGTCCATGATTCTCCGGAAGAAGCGGCTTTTCTTGATTCGGTTGATTGGCCTCCTCCATAGTGTCCAAGAGAACCAACTGTGGGGTCACTTGTAGGTCCCTTTCATTATCACCAGAATCCAAGTCGATCAAGGGAATCTTATCCAACTCGACCTTCTGTTCAACATGGTCCGGTATTTCTGGCTTACGATCTGTTCGGTCGGAGATTAGGTGTTCATCCGGTTTTGTAGCTTCGAGTAATGTTTTATCCTTGAGGTCTTTTAGCGAAATTAGGTCGCTAGCATTATCGTCTGAAATCTCTTCATGTGGTTCGATCATCAATCCAGGTTCATTTACGCAACTTTTTCGAAGGTCGGGTTTACCCGACGGGCTTGATTCTTGGTCACTTTCAAGGCCTATTGGGATTCTCAATCTCTTCCTCTGTTCTTCTTCCTCTCTGAGAAGAGTTTCTCTAGAGCTGTTAATGGCCGCTTTTCGCTTCACAATAGCAAGCTCTTCGAATTTCCACTGGAGGTTTCTTTTTTTTGCGTCGTTCTTGAAATTTTAAATCCGACATTTCTCGGCGGTTTTGTAGTTTTCCTCAGTCCTTTAGTCGCATAGAATCTAACTAGTTGATCTCGTTTTCTCGGGCTGGGTTTCTTCTGGGAGCATTGTCTTTTAATGGCTAAATCAAATTTACGTATTATTTTACCATTTTTCAAGGTAACTGTGTGGTCTGACTCCCTTACAATTTCATCCTTGAGTACTCTATAGAATGGTTCACTTTTCGTTCTACCTTGGACTTTTCGATAAATAATGGTCTTACCCGGCGGGTTATTCAGTATTGAGTCCTTTATGCCCAAGGCATTTCTCTTTTCTGCCCGAGAAAGCACTTTTACTGGGGATCCAGCACTGGTTGGTACGTATCTCACTGCATTTGAGATATCCTCCGAGGACGATGAGTTTTCGTCAACATCTCCATCTTCTATATCATCGGGGGCGTCCCAGTCGTGTCTTTGCTCTCGGCTCATTAGTTTTTTGCCCTTATCTATGCATAACAAAGTTTTATTCCAATCAAGGTTATTCGAAGAGGGTGATTTGACCAAATTATGCCAGATGGTGTTTGGGGATCTACCAAAATGTGCTTCGAAGGGAGAGCAGTTAAGCGACTGTTGAGTTACCGTTCTTAAACATTTTATTATTTTCAAAAGTGCAGATTCTAGCGAAGGTTTTGGACGTTCTTGTGCCATAACCAAGAGTCTTTCCTTAATGGTTCTGATTAGACGTTCCACTAGTCCGGTAGCTCTATGATCACCCACTGGGCTAAATATCACTTTTATATTGTGATCGTGACAGAATTCTCTGACTTCCTTGGAGATAAAACCAGATCCTTGATCTGTTCTAATGGTTCTAGGTATCCCGTGTAAAGCAATGTATTTACTAAGGAAGTTTATGATAGATTTTGGCGATGTGCTGGATGTTATTTGGGCTGATGGGAGTTTTGAAAATCTGTCCACGCACACTAATATGTATTTTTTTGTTCCCCATAGTAAAGGTAACGGACCGGCGAAATCTAATTCCATTTCTTGGTTTGGCTCTTCGACCGTTGGGAGTTTCCCTAGGGTATTGTGTTTTATAAGAGGTTTCAAGTTTTTACCTGCTTTCACGCACTCAATACAGTTTTCGCCGGGGACTTGAATTTCGCGGTAAATTTTCGGCCTCCAGATGTATTGAGTTGCCAGACTCTTCAGTGCGAACTGGCCAGGGTGGGCTTTGTGTAGTCGGTTGAGCATTGTCGATCTTAGACGTGCTGGGATAACTAACCGATTGTCCAGATAAAGACATCCTCCGCTGACATGTAAATTATTTAAGTACGATTTATAGTAGTTTCCCAGTTGTAGAATATCTTGTTTGCGGTCTTCCTCAATTGCTTTAATTATCTTTTTCAGAACTAGATCTTGTTTTGATAAGAGGGACATAAATTTTGAATCGAATATTTCTGGCCAAGAAAAATGGAATATACTGACTGTTTTCTTTTTACTAGGTGATCTTTTCACGGGATTATCCGACGGGTTACTGGTGCTTGGTGTTAAAGAGTCCATGTTTTCATTAGCAATAAGTTCTTTCTGTTGGTTAAATTCATTTTGTTCTGCCATTTCTTTCAGGATGTTAAAATTCGTAAAAAAGTCGTTTAATTTGCAAGATGAGTCACACTGTTCTGTACGCCAGTGAGAATTTTGGCACACTGAAATGTTGGAATAGTT